TTTTTTTTTTTTTTTTTTTTTTTTTTTTTTTTTTTTTTTTTTTTTTTTTTTTTTTTTGTATAAATTACTTGGTTAATTCACAGAAAAAATGAATAAAATGTAAAAATACAATCCTGTCTTCACGAATGGCTTCCATAAGTAAGTGATTTACTTTCGTATACACCGACCTACGATTCACTTTCATATTTTCATGAATCGTGCACATATACAAGGTCTTACAGTTAGATACATATTTTCTTTTGGGGACATTTCTATGATTCGCAAACCGTTCGAACCATTATAATAACATCATAGCATATAGCATCTACAGTAAGCTCGCATACCTTTATTGCATAGCATGCGTCTACTGTAAGCTCGCAGACCTTTATCGCAGTATGATTAGTTATAAACTTGTTCTCAAGTTCTCCATATTCTTACTATTTCTAGATGATGTTGCCATGGAATACACATAATCTTACTCATGTATACTGTAAAAACGCTTAAATCGAGTTAAATTTAAGTAGATGAATTCTTAAGTGCTAATTTCAAGACTGAAACAATGAAACTTCACGATCATAAATAAATAGTTTATTAATCTACCTACAATTAGAGGTTGACCTTCTTTCTTTTTTTCCTTTTTTTTTTTTTTGTTTTGTAAAATAACAAAATAATAACATTGAAGTAAAATAAAATTAGGAGAAAAATATAGTTGAAAGAAGTTGGGCTAGTTTCCAAAGGCCCAAAAAACAAACTAAAAATCAACGAGACATTTGTAACATGATAAAGAACATAATGTATACAACTCAAACTTTTAGAAACGACAAAGTTACAAGCAAGAATTAGAATATTCGTCTTAGAACTAGTAATCGTCTTGCTAGATGAATCGAGAGACACATAACTTGACCCGATACTCGTCCCGTCAGATGCTAGCAGCCCTACACAGTTCTTCCCATCAGATGAGAAGATTATAAGCTTTTGTAAACTGAAATGAATGAGGTTAGAAACAAGAATGAAATGCTTTTAATTTTTGTTATGATTTTGATTAGGTTGACAAAATTGGGAAGGGAATATTTCCATGAGAGATATGTATACAGGAAAACCATTCTGATCTCTACATTCCTACTGAGAGCCTGTATTAACCAGCATCATCAAGATGGGAAGAAAGAGATAAAAATCAAATCAAATGTTAAAAAAAAGAAAAGGAAAGATTTCCCATTATTCACTACACCATGGTTGTAATACCATTGTATCTACGCCTTGTTCTATCTGGTGAAAGTCCATCTTCCATTGCCTTCCTCTTGTTGTTGTTGTTGTTGTTCGATTGTTGCGGAGGTGTTGGCGGGAGCAATTGCAACTGTTCTTGCTCCTGTTGCGGCGTTGGTAACACTGGCACGGATGGCAATTGATCTTGATCTTGATCTTGCAGCGGTGTTGGCACCTGCTGCGATTGCAATTGTTCTTGTTGTTCATGATGTTGTTGCTCTGGTGCTTGGGATTGGCTTCCTGAATCAGGCTCATCTTCCTCTGTTCTTTCTGGTTTGCCACATTTGAGTTTGGTTTTCAACATGTGGGGTTTAAGCCTGTTGACGTCCGAAAGTCGGACCGGTTTCAAGAAGAACTCTTCTGCTCCTTCTTCTAAACATCTGTTTCCAATCATCAAAATCGACCCTTCAATCAGATTCAGACCTCAACAACAACACTCATAAAACCAGAATCTCAGAATTTCAACCAAATCTACTCTTCAAGACACACTTGCATCATCATCATCATCATCATCATATTTCTTTCTTTTTTTGTTCTGTTCTTACCTATTGATTCTTGCAGGTACATTCTCAGATGACATAATCACAACAGGTATGTTTCTCAGAGCCTTGGACCCCTGCAAACCCAGAGGAAATCCTTCAGAAACACTTCCTAGATTTAGTCTGTTTGACTGGAAACTAATTTGTAATAATTCCATATGTAGTTCATTGGATATAATGTTACCAAAAACCAAAGGAAATCTCAAAATCTATGGTACAACAAGGACCCAGATTGGAAACATTCTACTTTTGGCTTCAGAAAAAGAAAATTTCTCCTCAGAGGCATTTTAACAAACACTTAGTGTGCAGTACAACAACAGAAATGGTAAGATGAGGCAAAATACCTTGATCTTCTTCAACAAATCATAGCCAGTCATCCCAGGCATACAGTAATCAGTAATAACAAGATTCACATCCACTTCCTGAAGAAACCCACAACAGAAAAGTGAACAAACAAGAACCCCACAACAAATTGAAAGGAGATCCAAAACATTTAGAAAAAACCAGATCAAAACCCAAAACTGAAAACAAACCTGATGATGATGATGATGGTGGTGGTGGTGGTGGTGGTGGTGGTGGTTAGGAGAAACATAGGGAATCGAGTTATTTCCAGGATCATACCCCAAAAACTCCAAAGCCTTACTCCCAGAATCAACCGTAGTTACTGCCAAAGAAGAAGGAACATAAAATCAATTCACAAAAAACCCCCAAAATCCGAAAAGAACTTAAAAACGATTCGATTCGTCCAGTCCACATACCTTGAAAAGAGGAGGTTTTAAGGAGACGCTCAATCAATTTCCGATCGATGACGCTGTCATCAACAGCAAGAACATGGAATTTGGAGTCGGAAACCATGCCCATTGCAGCAACAGAAGATCCCATAGCAGAGAAAAAGAAGTGAAGGTGTAAGAAGAAGGGGATTTTTGAGAGAAATGGAAGCGGAGAAGTCGATTTAGGTGGGGTTTTGAAAGAGAAGAATGTGGCAGAAGAGATGAATAGCTTTGTACTGCAAACAAAGACCCACCAAAATCCACATCCCACAAAGCAAGATCCGACCAGATTTCCTCACCAAATCTCCCAATATTTTCCCAACATCATATACTTTCACAAAATAAAAGACCCATTTTTCCTTATAATAAGGTAGGAAAAATCACCACACTGTTTAATTTTTTTTATAATTATTTTTTAGTATGGGTTGGATATTAGGTCGTAACAATTAAAAAAAAACATTTCTTTCCTATATAAATTTCATACGGAACTGAAGTGAATATTTGAATATCCAACCATAAGAAAATGATAAGATGTCTTAAACATCAAACAGTTCGATAGTTAAAGACACAATATATATATATATATATATTTTTTTTACGAGTTAAAAGATTCAAATTTTTAATAATAAAATCGAATCTATTACGGGTAAAAGCGTGTAGGTCTTTTATTTAATGAGTTGTAAATTTGAATTTTGTATTATACTTTTACGACGATAAATAATATTATTTAATTTAAAAAAATAAAAAGATTTTTCTTTGTTTCTTTTTTTGAGTATAAGATTTGATGGGATTTATTTACACAAAAAAGGGTTGGCATTGACATTGGAAGGGAATATAAATTTATAAAGATGGAAATTTCCTTTTCTTTTATTTATTTAATTATTTAATTATTTTATTTTATTGGATCAAAGTATAAAGTTATGAAATGAAAAGGAAATGAAGGGAAAGAGAGGGGAGAGTGTGGGCCACCCCAAATCCTCTAAAGAGATACGGTTGATGTCAGAAATTAATTTTTTTTTTAATCAACAAAAAAAAATTAATAAATTATGTAAGTCCAAATAATAGGCATTAGACAAGTAGATAATATGGTTACGTCAGAAAGGTTATCGTTACTATTACTATTATCCGTAAAAAAAAATTACTATGACGGGTAAAAGAGAAGGTGGAAGGAAATTTCATTTGATTCTCTTTTTTTTGAAAGATATGCTTTAGATGAATGTCTTTGTCAAAAAGTAATTTGAATGAGTTGAAATTATAGTGGGTTCTGTTTGATTTTTTTATATATATATAATTTTATAATTTTTACTTATTTATTTTCTTTTATGACTAAAAGAAAATTTTGACTTTTTTTTTTTATTTATTATTGTTTGAAAAATGTTTTGAAAACAATGTTTGGACTTCTAGAACTTGACCCGAGTCAACTAAATTTTATGAACGGTTTAAAATTCATTTTGGGATTATTTAGCTTATAGAATAATTATTGACAATTATATTTTCACGAAATTTAGCTGTCACGTTTTCTTTTCATTTTTATGATTTTTTTAAAAAATAAAATAGATATTTTTTAAAATTTAAATACAAAAAAAAAAAAAGTAATAAAACAAATTAATATTTGAAAACATAAAAAAATAGAAAATAAAAGAAATAAAGAATAAAACATAAATGTGTATCCTTTGACAGATTTTATTTGGACCACTAAGATTTTATATTAAAGAGGTAGTATAATTTATAAGCTAAAATCATATCAAATATTTTTCAACTAAAATATTGATATTAATGTCATTAATGAAAATTTTGAATTATTTCCTTTATAAATTAAATCTAATAATGCTAACATTTAATTTTTCTTTAATTCTTAACCTATACTTATCTTCATTTTTATATTTCTAAAACTTTATATTTATTTTTTCATTAATCATACATACCTATATTCATCTAAATATCTACTTATTGGATATATATTTAACATAAAATTTAGCTATTAAAATAGAAAATTTAAAATATAAGAATTAAATATAAAGAAAATGGAAGTTTTAAAAATAATAATAAATTTTAACTTCTACCTTTTTAATTATTAAATTTTTATTAAAAAAAAAAGCTAGTTAAATTATAAATTTTTTTGAGAAAAATGTCTAATAAATTTTTAATTTTATTATAATAGATGATTGACTTATTCAATATCTATATATATATATCTTAAATAATAGATCTACTAAAATTAAAAATTAAATATTTAAGATTACATTAAATATAAAATTCAATTTAAATATACTAAATTAATTATTTTTTAATTTAAAAAATGGCACAAATCAATTAAATAAAAATGAAAATTTAAGATATTTTAAAATAATTTAAGATATTTTTAAATTTTATCGATTTATTAGACACAAAAATAAAGAAAAATATACGTTTTTTAGATGGTTTCACAGTTTTGTAGAATAAATGTTATTTTGAAAATGTATAATATATATTTAAATGTTGAAAGAATAATATATATTAAATAGTTTAATAAACTTTGTTTATTCCTGACATATTCAAACATATCTGTAAAATAAAATAATTAGTATATTTGACTATGCAATTCATTATTATTTTTCTCTAAATAACTATTATCAAAATATCTATTTATCCAAAATTATTTTAATGTATTTAATTACTTCCAACCATTATTAGTCATTTCATTTTTAATAATTAATAATAATATTTGGAAATTTATTTTTTATTTTACATTTGAACAAATAATTTGAATCGTGATATGTCAAAATTATGGTTTTTTTTTATTATTATTATAAAATTGTAAAATAAGCTTTAATTTCTTTTCTTTTTTTATTAAATATAAATATTTATTTAAATTAAAAAATTAAAATTAAAAGCGTCTCTTGTTGGGCCCCACTCACCCCATTCTATTGCATTTTTTCTGAACGTGATGGCTAATCTCCTACTGCTCCCCTCCATGGACCACCATGCCCTTTAACCCTTTTATTTTCTCCTTTTTCATTTTCTTTTTCTTTTTAATTACAAATTTATAAAATTTATAAAATATTTATTCAGTGTGACTTTCGAGTAAAAAGGATATCAAATTATGGTTAAGGCTAAGAAAAATTGATAGTTACTGTCTGTATCAACAGAATTTGTCAATCCATGGTTATACCGTAAACTTATAGAGGTTGTAGCGGTAAACCCAACCTCCTGTGACAAAATAGGTGCGAGATCCCACATCGGTTGAAAAGGGGAAACAAACCATTGTTTATAAGGGTGTAGAAACCTCTAATTAGCACACATGTTTTAAAACCTTCAGGGGAAAGCAGGAAAGAAAAGCTCAAAGAGGACAATATCTGCGGACTTGGACAGTTACAAATGGTATTAGAGTTAGACACTAGGAGGTGTGTCAACAAGAACGTTAAGCCCTGAAGAGGGTGGGATACCAAACGGTGTGCCAGCAAAGACACTAGGTCCCGAAGGGGGGGAGAATTATGAGATCCCATATCGATTGGAGAGGGGAACCTAGGCGATGTACCAGCGAGGATGCTGAGTCCCGAATGAGGGTGGATTGTGAGATCTCATATACATTGGAAAGTGGAACAAAACCTTTTTATAAGGGTGTGGAAGTCTCTCCCTAGTAAGCATTTTAAAACCTTCCGGGGAAACCTAAAAGGAAAAACCCAAAAAAGACAATATCAGCTAGGAGTGAGGTTAAGCTCTTACAATAGGCACAAGAAAAGAGCAATAGACCAGACCAACTTACAAAAACAAAATCGTCCCTTCATAACCATTCATCCACAATATTTAATAAATCGTCTTCGTCTCTAATAAATTTACCAATTGTGACTCTCCTATTCAACTCACGAGAAATAAAAACACATACGGTTCGAAATAGAAAAACAAAACGTGTATCGAGCAGCAGAAGGATAATTTGGGTACAAATTTTGAAATTGATAATAGAAAAATAGTTGGAAATGTTGGAGAAGATCCCAAGATCACAACCCTACAATTGTAAGATTGTAATAGGCTTTGTCCACCTCTTAGGGAACCTTTGCACATGTTCTACTTTCATTCTTTCATCATCACCTTTGTCCCTACCATTGTCTTCCCTACTCATCAATATTCCATTCATACACATTTACTTACATTCATACCATGGTTCGGGTGGCTCGCACCGTGGGTGGTGCACCTGAGCCGAAATGGGCTCAGTTGTTGTCGCTAGCTGAATGTTAAATTTCCATATGCTTTTAGAAATTTAACGAAAAAACGACCATTTGAGAAGTTTCAGTGGAGAGAATAGGCCATGTAAGACCCAACCACATGGGGTCTGCCACAGACAGCATAGCACCCATTGGCTTTGGCTTTTTAGCAAACATAATATGGTCCCAATTTTTTCCTTGTCTTAGGGCTTTCTCTTTCCTACATGGTCCCCTTTTCTCTCTCTCTACCCCTTTTTTCATCGTGATCGATATGAACTCACATATAAGGTCATTCTTTGCATGTATATGAGATGATCTACTGGGGTCGTGCCCTATACGATACCGGACTATATGTTGCGGTTACACCCTGCATGTATGACATGATTTATTGAGTTCGTGCCGTATAGGATAAGAACTCTTCTCCCCCCATGATTAAGATGATGCGAGTAAGATTCAAAGTTGAACGAATTAGGAGGTCGCGCCTTGTATGTTTCCTGAAGTTCAATTAATAATGGATTTAATTAATAGTATAATTAAGCTATCTAATCCATGTACGTATTGAATATCGTGCCTATCACAACACTTTAAAAAAAATTGAATATTTTAATCAATTAGGTGTCAAGTGTTACAGCCGCACTCATGCAGCAACTAGCAAGCGGTTGTGCGACACTTGTTCTAACCTAGCGAACAAGTCGACCGTAAGAAATTTGGATTTCGCGGACAATGTCAGCGTACGCTCGAGCCTTGAGTCACATTTGCGAGAAATGTTTTAAAAGACGTGAGCGAAGAATTACATTTGAAAACAACGGCTGAAATAGCATATATAACTTAGGGTAGGAAGAATTGACTACTAGTCATATCCGTCTATAATATATTTTGGGCAGGTTAACCCTAATTTTTGTGAAACTAAAAGTCGTATAATAACAAAATAAATATAAAGTCAAATCATAATTTTTTTAAAAATTTATGGGTCAAAAACTAATATTTTCGCACCTATTGAAAGGATAAGATGCTAGTTGTTGACATTTATATTAATTTTTAATTAAATCTATTCATAAATGTAAATCCCTACCTAATTAGCTCGTTGAACCAACTCCATCAATAAACAAAAATTAATTATTTAT